GGCTGCTTCTGGAGCTCTCAGTCCACAGACAGTAAGGGGGTCGAACAACTGGTCAGAAGGAGAATACAAAGGTCTCTTTGCTAGCACTGGGAGCCGGACTCTGTTGCTTTCCCCATACTCAAATCTGGGTTGCAGTCCTGGGTTGCAGTCCCAGAGTGAAAAAGGGCACTATCACATAAGAGTTTGCAGCTGCAGGGGAACAGGGATACTCATCACAATTCCAGGTCAGGAAAGAGAGCTTGTGGTCACTCATGAGAACAAGACAGGAGAGTAGTAAGCACACTTCTCCTTGGATCATACCACCTTGGAAGAATTGAAAACGTACAGACCACCAGAATTAGCTCTGAAAAAAACTGCACAAAAAATCCTGAAACTTGGGACAGTGCTTCCTATACTCCAAGAGCAGAGCCCCGCTTTATCAAAGGGCTAAAAGTCAAGAAATAGACTGGAAAAATGAGCAAACAATAGAAAAAAATTCTGGTCATAGAAAATTGACTGTGGTGACAAGGAAGATCAAAAAACGTACTCAGAGGAAGATAGCAAAGTCAAAGTTCCAACATCCAAAGCCTCCAAGAAAAACATGAATTGGTTTCAGGTGATAAAAGAGCTCAAAAAGGATTTTGAAAATCAAGTAAAAGAAGTAGAAGAAAAGTTGGGAAGAGAAATGAGAGTGATGCAAGAAAATCATGAAAAAAAGAGTCACTGGCTTGGTGAAGGAGAGATAAAAAAAAATACTGAGAAAAAATACTGAAGAAAATAACACCTTAAAAAACAGACTAGGCCAAATGGTGAAAGGGGGAGGGGGAAGTCAATGAGGAGAAGAATGCCTTGAAAAACAGAATTGACCAAATGGAAGATAAGTCACAAAAATTTACTGAAGAAAAAAACTTCTTTAAAAGTAAAATTGGCAAAATGGAATAAGAGATCCAAAAGCTCACTGAAGAAAATAATTGCTTAAAAATTAGAATTGAGGAAGATGGCAGAGTAAAAGCAATAACTTGTTTGAGCTCTCCTACAAATCCCTCCAAAAACCTGTAAAAAATGACCCTAAGGAGAAGCTAGGTGGCTCAGTGGATAGAGCTCTGGCCTTGAGTTCAAATCTGGCCTCAGACATTTGACACTTACTAGCTGTGTGACCCTGGGCAAGTCATTTAACCCCAATTGTCTCACCAAAAAGCAAAAAAAAAAAAAAAAAAAAAAAGACCCTCAACAAATTCTAGAGTCCCACTTTTAGAACTCACAAAAAGATAGAGTGAAACAAATTTCCAGCCCAAGACAACCAAGACAACTAATTTTTAAGGAATTATTTTCTTCAGTGAGCTTTTGGACTTCCTTTTCCATTTGGCCAGTTCTGTTTTTTTAAGGTATTCTTCTCCTCAATGCTTTTTGGACCTCTTTTACCATCTGGCCTAGTCTGGTTTTTAGTGTGTAATATTCTTCAGTATTTTTGGGGGTCTCCTTTAGCGAGCTGCTGACTATGTTTTTCATGATTTTCTTGCATCATTCTCATTTCTTTTCTCAATTTTTCCTCTACTTCTCTTACTTGATTTTCAAAATCCTTTTTGAGCTCTTCCATTGCCTGAGACCAATTCATATTTTTCTTGGAGGCTTTGGGTATAGGAGCTTTGACTTTGTTGTCTTCTTCTAAGTGTGTATTTTCATCTTCCTTGTCACCATAGTCACTTTCTATAGTTAGAGGGTTTTTCCCCCATTGTTTGCTCATTTTCCTAGCCTATTACTTGACTCTCAACTCTTTGTTAAAGTAGGGCTCTGCTTCTAGGACGGAGGGCACAATGTACCCAGCTTCAGGAATTTTGTGCAGCTGTTTTCAGAGATACTTCTAGAGACCTGTAAGTTTTCAATTCTAAGGTGGCATGATCTAAGAAGTGTTTACTACTCTCCTGGCCTGTGCTTTGGTATGTGAGTGACCATAAGCACTCTTTTCTGCCCTAGAATTGTGAGGAGGGTTCCCTCTTCTACTGTTGCTGCAAGCTCTACTATGCTAGTGCTACTCTTCACCCTGGGACTGCCACCTTGGTCTGCAATCCAGATCTGAGTATGGGCAAAGCAAAAGAGTCCTGCCTCAGTGCTACCAAAAAGACCCCTGTAATCTCCCTCTGATGAGTTGTTCAATGCCCTTACCATATTGTAGGCTGAGAGCTCCAGAAGCAGCTACTGCCACTGCCACTGACGATTCGGTCACTTCCACGGCCTGCTCCTGGTCTTCTGTGGCCTGGGCTATGCTGGCATGGCCCGGGCTGAACTGCACTCCACTCTCAAGCAGGTGCAACAGACCTTTTCTCCCAATCTTCCAAGTTGTCTTGGGCTGGAAATTTGTTTCACTCCATCTTTTTGTGGGTTCTGCTGCTCTAGAATTTGTTTAGAGTCATTTTTAAAGGTATTTGGAGGGGTTTGGGGGAGAGCTCAGGCAAGTCCCTGACTTTACTCCACCATCTTGGCTCAGGATTGAAATAGAGGACTTTCAAGCATTCTTAATGAAAAGACCAGAGCTGAATAGAAAATTTGGCTTTCAAATATAAGACTCAAGAGAAGCCTATAAAGGTAAATAGGAAAGAGAAATCATAAGGGACTTAATAAGGTTAAACTGTTTACATTCCTACATAGGAAGATGATACTTGTAACTCATAAAACCTTTCTCATTATTAGGGCAGTTAGAAGGAAAATATATTGAGAGAAGGCACAACCTGAATTAAATATGAAGGAATATCTAAAAAAATAAAATTAAGGATTGAGAAAGTGGAATGCACTGGGAGAAAGGGAAAAGAGGAGATAGAATGAAATAAATTATCTCACATAAAAGAGGCAAGAAAAAGCTTTTGCAGTGGAGGGAAAGATGGGGGAGGGGGAGGGAGGAGTGAGTGAACTCTACTATCAGAATTGGCTCAGAGAGGGAATAACATACACATTCAATTGGGTAGAGAAAACTACCTTACTCTACAGGAAAAACAGGAGGGGAAAGGGATAAGAGAAAGGAGAGGTGATATATGGGAGGACAGATTGAGGGAGGGGTTAGTGAAAAGCAAAACACTTTTGAGGAGAAATGGTGAAAGGAGAGAGAGAAAAGAATAAATGGGGAAGGGGGGTCAGAAATAGGATGGAGAGAAATACATTTAGCAATCATAATTGTGAAAAAAATTTGAAGCAAGTTTCTCATAAAGGCCTCATTTCTCAAACATGTAGAGAACTGAGTCTACTGTATAAAAATAAGTCATTCACCAATTGATAAATGATCAAAAGATATGAAGTTTTCAGATGAAGTAATCAAAGCTATCTATAGGCATACGAAAAAATGCTCTAAATCACTATTGATTGGAGAAATGGAAATTAAAACAATTCTGAGGTACTACCTCCTACCTATTAGATTGACTAATAGGACAGAAAAGGAAAATGACAAATGTTAGGGATGTAGGAAAAAAATGAGACATTAACACACTGTTAGAGTTATGACCTAATTCAACCATTTGGACAATTTGGAACTATGTGGAAAGGGTTGGAAAACCATGCATACCCTTTGACCTAACAATACAACTTCTAGGTCTGTATCCAAAAATAGATAAAAAAGCAAAAAGGAAAAGGATCTATATGTACAAAAATATTTATAGCAACTCTTTTCTGACAAAGAATTAGAAATTGAGTAGATGCCCATTAATTGGAGAATGGCTGAACAAATTGTCGTATGTGATTATGATGGACTACTATTGTACTATAAGAAATGATGAACAGGATGTGCTCAGAAAAATCTGGAAAGACTTACATGAGCTGATGCAAAGTAAAATGTATTGTGTACAAAGTGACAGCAATATGGTAAGCTGATCAGCTGTGAATGACTTAGCTATTCTCAGCAATGCAATGATCCAAGACAACTCTGAAAGACTTGTGATGAAAAATGCTATCCATCCCCAGAGAAAGAACTGATGATGTCTGAATACAGATTGAAGCATACTGCTTTTACTTTATTTTTCTCAAGTTTTGTTTTTTTTTTTTCCTGGGGGGGAATCTACGTTTTCTTTCACTCCATGACTAATATAGAAATATGTTTTGCATGACTACACATATATAACCTATATCAAATTACTTGCCTTCTCAATGAAGGGGGTGGGAAGGGAGGAAGGGAGAGAATTTAGAACTTAAAGTTTTAAAAATGAATGTTAAAAGTTATTTTTACATGTAATTGGGGAAAAAGGAAATACTAAATTAAAAAAAACTGTCTGGCTCAGTTTCCCCATCCGTAAAATGGGAATAATAATAATAGAATCTTCTTCCCAGGAGGTTGTGAGGATAAAATGAGACCTTTGTAAAATGCTTTGCAATATTTATATTGTTTGTCTATGCAATGTATGTTTGTTTTGTGCAGCTATACTTCTTTGTTAGAGGGAAGAACTTTTCTTGTTTTTTTATTTTTATTTGGGGAGATTTGAGGCAAGAGCAAAGCAGCAGGGCAGTGCTTACATTTTTAAAAGGGAAAAAAAGATAGGAAAGAATGTTGATGAATCATTTAAAAAATAAACAGAAGATAGCAAAAGGAAGTTCAGAAGGGGACATAGACATGAAGAGAAATTTTGGAACTCTTGAGGTAAATTTGAATTATACCACAAAAAATAAACAAAACATAAAACCAAACCCACTAAGCTTTTCATGGTAGAAAAAACATTGAGCATGACAGAAGTTGAGTTTCATTGCAAACTTTTTTGTTTATAAATGTTTACAAACTTGTTTTGCAAATTGTTGTTTTTCATTGTCTATTGAAATATTCATATTCATTGATGCATATGAAGTTCATAATAAATTTTTTTTAAAAAAACTTTTAATACCCCAAATGTGAAGCCACTGGATAATTAAAAGAAAGATTGGCTGGAGTCAGATTGTAATGGCTTTAAAAGCCAGGCTGAGAATGTTATTGGTTTCTTGAAAGAGGCAGTGGCATGATCATACTTGTGCTTGAGTACTGTGAGTTTTTCAGTAGTGTGGAGGGAAGATTGGAGAGGGGAAAGACAGGAAAACCAAACAGAAACCTATTGCAGCTGTCCGTGTAAGAGGAGATGAGAGCCTGACCCAGGATAGAGGAATGAAGGAGAAGGATGTAAGAGACAATTTGCAGAGGTAGAATGAACGACATGAGGACTGACTGGAGAGGTGAGGGTGAAGGGTTGAAGATGACGCCAAGGTTTCAAACATGGGTGATCAAAAGAATGTTAGTGTTCTCCATACAGAGCAATTAGGGAAATGGGTGGTTTTAAGCAGGCAAGATAATGAATTTCATTCTGAACATGTGCCATTTGAGATGCCAATAGATGATGTCCAAAAGGCAGTTGATAGTGTAGGGATGGAGCTCCATAAAATAAGGAAGACAAATATATAGACAAATGTATATGACATAAGAGAGAATGTGGTAGTAATAAATTAAATATGTAGACAAAATGAAAAGTGACCATGGGATAAGTATTCTGTTGTTATAACACTTAAAATGCATGGCAACTTTAAAGCCCAAATTTGCTGAATTATAGCACATTTCACATCAGTGCACATGCTATATATGTGAACTTCTATGTGTTCCATAACACTTTTTGGATCCCCATTAGCCTTAAATGCCTGCATACAGCCCAGAGTAAAAGTAATTGCTGTGCAAAAAGTAGAGTCCAAACAAGTTTGAAATGGAAAATAAGATAGGTAAACTTGGATCAACAGGACTAGGATCTATGATCTTTTTAAAAAGTGCATCTCAGGTATAATGCTTGAGGACAAGAATAACATCTGCATATTGATTTCTGTCCACATACATAACACATCCTCTCATAAACATTGGTTATTAAAGATACAAATTTTGAGGGTTAGTTAGTCATATGTCTAGAGATCTTTAGTTGCTTTACTCAGAAAACTTCTTGTGTTCTCCAGACATGTGGTGCCAAGGGCAATGATGGAGAGAAAAAAGATATTAGCAAATCTTTGCTTCAAAACTATGATTCCCAGTTACTCGGTCTCCACTAATCTCAAATTGGATTGTTTAACTTGGGCTGGGCTGAACCTTCCCTTTTCGTTACTAGGTTGGGTGGGAGGGAAATCCTGGCAAAGAAAAGAAATCATAAATATCACAAGAGTCTTGCTCATGAGAACAAATGGCTTCCAAAAGTTTTAGCCACGTGGTATTGATGAAACAGATAAAGTTATCCATTCTTTAAAGCAAGTCCTCTGGCATTTTGAGTGACTATACTTGAAGAGAAATGTACTTCTTTAAGAAATATTAATTCTGTCAGAAGTTTCATTCATTTAAGCTAGTCTCAGTCTGTTGTACTTTAGCTGAAGAACATATATACATAAATAGAAAACAAAAATATATTTTGTATATAGTCAATTTGTTAAAAGATATTAAAGAAACATAGTGGATTTAACATGTATAATATATTTCCACAGAAAGATTATGTATTATTATATGCACAATGTATAATAACATATTATAAAAGATATAATATTATATAAAATTATATAAATTACATGTTGTAATATTACATATAACATAAAATAGATTATAAATAATACATAGTATATTTTCATGTTAAACCCACTGTTCTAATATTATATGTTAAATATATATGTAAATAATATAAAATGTTTCCAAGATAAGTCCACTATGCTTTTAATTAAATGAAAGGAAAGTGATAGCCGGTTATAAAAATAATGTAAAAGAAAGTATGAGTATGGTCACCCCTGAGCTTTGATGGCATTTATGACTTCAATTTTCTACTATAAGAAGCAGAAGAATAGAAGCTAAGGACCAAAGAACTACAAAAGGAGGTAAAAACAAAGTAAGCCCAATTTAATTTGGGGATTGGCAGCTTTTTACCTTTCGTCACTGGCCACAGCCTTCCTTTGGGGCCTCCTCATGCATGCCTCTCTTTCCTCACACTCCACAAACTGGCCTTATTTTTCCCTCTGTTCTTTTACACTGGCTGTCTCCAGTGCCTGGGATAAATTCCTTCAGTTCTGCCTCTTAGGATTCCTTCTTTTATTTAAAACTCAGATCAAGTTTTCTCTAGATAAAGCCTTTTCTGACAATCCCACCTACTAGTATTCTCTCACACTAAACTACCAATATTTGTTTTGCATGTATTCTACATACTCATATATACATTCACATTCACATATATATCTGTATGTATATGTATATGTATGTGTATGTGTATATGTATATGTATATGTATATGTATAGATACAGGCTGCCTCCTCTAACAGAATGCAAGTTCTTTCAGGACAGACTTGTATGAAGGGAGGCAGAGGAATGTGAGCAGAACCAGGTGAACAATTTGTACAATGGTTCCAACTTTGATTAAATCCCATGTGACTTCTCCCTCTAATTGAATTACTCCTCCATTTAAGGAGGTTGCCCAGGCCAGTCAGGTCTTGTTCTCCAGGCTACATCTCAGACTGTGGCCCTGGGCCAGTATTTTCATTCCTCCCCTTCCCCTCGTTCTTCTTCCTCTGTCCACATTTTTGGGGCTTGGGGGCCAGATTTTTTTCTCTTCCCTATGTATTTATTCTGTCATGTTTTCCTCAAAAAACTGGAACAGTTAACTCTTCTGTCTCATGTAGTTTTTATTTATGATCTCTTGAAATATAGGTCTAGAAAACCAGGCTTTGATAAAGCCCATTGTGATTCAAATAGAGGTACTTGACTATGCCTTTAAACCCAAATCCCTCTGGCTTTCACTGATTGGCTAATAAGTTCCAACCCAAACTTCACTTGTTCGGTGTTTGGGTTTTGATGGCTCAAAGTGAGTGTAAATAGCAACTGGGTCTGTTGTGGCCAGAAACTTTTGAGGGTATTCCCATCCCAGAATGATTCTTTTGGAAGGCAAACCTTTTTTTTTGCCTCTATTCTTACCTAGCTTTTGATTATTCAGGCAAACTGCGACCTGAAAAGACCTTAGCTTAAAAAGGCCGAGGTCTTCCACTGTATCCGTGACCACCTGATGACTCGGAGGAAAGAGGCTAATGACTTTGCACAGCTCTGCTTCACTTAAATCCAATTCACTTACAAGTCAAGACATCACCTTCCTGATGTCATTGGTTCTCTTTGAGCACTAGAAGAAACAATTCCCCTCGTTCAACTCTCTTTGAAACTTGTCTTCCACTATCAGAATGTAAGCTTCTCAATTCTTTCTGCTTGTATGTGTATCTTCAGTGCTTAGCACAGACCAACATACCTCTCACTTTTAATATGTAGAATAAGACATACATTTTTAGAAATGGCTATTATTGAGGTTTAGGGGTGTAGGGGTGCTGGGACCCCAAAATCACGATATGCGAGACCTGCCCTAAAGAATTTGACCCAAGCCTTCTTTCAGCCAAAGACAAGGTTTATTAAAGATGAATCACATAGACCAGACTCTTAAGGAATCTGAACATTTGTAATGCTCATAAGGATGAGCTGGCATGAGGAAGTCTCAGCCTCTAAATGGCAGCCAAGATGGATCTTGTATACAGCCAAGTAGTTTGGGGTGACTAGAGGAGGGGCTAGGAGGAGGATCTTGAAGTTGGGGTGACTGGGGGAAGGGTCCTGGTGAGAATCCTGATGGGAACGTCTGGGAGGTTGAGTGGGGTCTGGATAAGATCAAGGATAGGAAAACTAACCCCAGAACTATTAGGCCAGTAATAGACAATGGAGGGCTAGACTTAATTAGAGTAACAAAGAACTGGGATATAGGGCCTAGGCAATAAGGAAGAGCCAGCTGATAGGCATAGGAATAAGAATGACTTTAGGGGACTGCTAGACTTCCTTGACCAGGTTTAAATGTTCAAATAGGGTTCAAGGGTTTTCTGGGGCCCACAGACAAATGAGACCCAAATTCTTTCCTGGGGTGAGGGGCAAAGGTCTCGGCCTGAGCTCACACCCCATCGGCTATGAGATTTAGGACTATCTGGGAACCCCAGAATGTCAGGGTACAAGGTGGAGTTGCCTGGAATGAATTCACACACTCAAACTCTCTTCTAGTCAAGTAGCAAAGTTTATTGTAATGCCAAGAGTAGTGGGCAAAGTTCCTAGCAAACCTGCAAATTGAGGATTAGGCTGATGCTTATATATAAAAGGGACAGTGAAAGGACCTGGGTGGGATGAAGGAGTGGTTATGATGGGGTTGAGATCTGGGCCCCAGAATGGAAAAACCCTGGACTTTCCCAGGTGGTCAAATCTCTGGCATTCCTATAATCCTATCAACTGGCCTTTCATTGTGGCTATGCCCCATCTCCCCTCCATTGCCTTGCCTGCCTCTCCATTTCCCTGGAATTCTATTACCTCATAGACTACTTGGCCACTCCTAGATCCTTCCCACGGTTCTGTATTTAAGGTCCATCTTGTCACTATTAAAATGCTCAGATTCTTATAATCTAGCCAATAGTTTACTAATGTTCAGACTGTTTAAGAGTCTGCCCAATATGATGGATGTTCTAATAAACCTTGTTTTTGGCTGAAAGAAGGCTTGGGTTGAATTCTTTCGGGTAGTGATTTTGGGGTCCCAGGGCCCCTGAACCCCTAAACCGCATCAGTTAGTCTGGGGTGAGCCTAGTGTAACAGTGTCAAGTAAGCAAATTACGTGATCTAGGTGGGCTAGGGTGGGCCAGGTGCCTTGGGTGGAGGCACTAGTGATCTAGGCTGCTGAAATGTATGGGGAAATTCAGGAACTGGGTTGCTTTCAAAGACATGGTCTTTTCCTTTTTGGGGTCCAGGTCCCATCACCCCATCAGCTACTCTGTGGATGTGTTTTGCTTACCTATACTAACTTACAATTGATCATATTTAACACATTATCCTGGCAAATATTTCAGTTTGTTTATTTTTCTTTGGGAAAAATAAATTACTTCATTAAGTGAGTGGAGTAACTTTGAATCAGGTAGAAGTGTGTTTTATCTTAAGGTGAGAATTAAGTTTCCTCTTAAATATAATATCACAGTTTCAAAGACCCAAAGAATTTTATGAAGAACACTTATGGCAGGAGGGGTTAGTGGGCAGAACAAATTATACACATCTAAGAAGAGTAATTGTTGAGGTTTAGGGGTGCTGAGACCCCAAAATAACAATACACAGGGCCTGCCCTAATGAATTCGACCCAAGCCTTTTTTCAGCCAAAGACAAGGTTTATTAA